CTCCTATATGAAACAATACCATCTGTATTAACTTTAACATTTATTCGTTAAATATTTTAATATGAACAATAATTCGACCAGTTTTTTTTTTTATCATAATTGATATAATAAAGTTCACTTACTTAGAGGTTTCTTTTAAACATGCATTTATGTAATATGATCTTAAAAATTTACAATAATCATTCGATATTATTCATTAAATCATTTAAAGTAAAGATAAAAACATAATTATTATATTTTGTTTCTTCATTTGTTTTGTTCTTATTTGAACATTTATTAAATAGGAGAAATTATATGAATCGTATTTAATCAACAGAAAAAAAATTCATTTTTTAAATCAAGTAAATATATTTGTTTTTGTTTTTTCTTATTTATAGAATTTTATCTATTTTTCTCTTTTATGTTGTTGAAGACTCAAATTTATCAAATGAACTAACATCAAATATAGAATTTTCATTTATTCATGGATCACCTCAACGAATAAAAAAATGTTTTAAAAATAGTACAAATAATTGAAGTTGTTTGAAAATTGAACTATTTAATTTGTGTTATCGAATTAAAGCAAAAACATTCACAATTATTGTTTTTTTCAGGAGAAGATAATTGTCTATAGTTTATATTTCAGATTTCACGGCAGAAGATTGAGTTCCAAAGTTTGAGATTCAAAGAAAATGCTTGATTATGTCTCTTATTTATGGAAGAATATCTGACTTTCACATAGAGTTTTCAGAACATCCGAACGAAGTCATTTTTTTTTTTTTCTTTTGTAAAAAGAATAAAAAGATTCAAATAATATTAATAATAGAAATTCAATGACATCAAGTAAAGATTCATCAACAATATCAAATACAGGTAAAGATTAAAAAAACAAGTCAATCGTACAGAAAAAGGTACTTTTGCAAATAATCTGTCAATAATGAAATTCTTCGAATCTATACTTTTATCGTATCAGACACATCAAATTTTAATAAATTCATTTCAAATTGATTGTTTTGTACATTTACTTTCCACTATGTGCATTTATATGAAATCAGTTTAAAGTTTTATTTCTATAGAAGATTTTATGAAAAGATTTAGAAGAAATATTTATTTATCTTAAATTAACATTCAATGTACACAAGAGTCTATTGTCTTTTTGAATAGGAGATATTTATTCGAAAGAAAATCTCAATTATTAATCTTTATTATTTATCAGTCGAGCTAAAATTTCTAACATGTTCTATTAGTTCTAAAACTTGTCTATCAACAAAAACTTTAGATGAAAATGTTATAATTAAGGTAACTCTATGGGCCTAGCTCACATTAAAAAATGTTCAATATAAGAATTTCATAGCAATAGAAAAAATGATTTAGCGATTGTCTTAACCAGAGTAAAAATATTATGTCTTTATATCAATAGACAAATGATCTTTAGAGCAGAAAAAAAAAGAACGGTGCAGTATAAAGTGGTATATTCAGTCACTAGACAAACTGTATAAGACGAATGTCTCCTTTTGTGTTCTGAAATCGACAGACTAAAAGAACGTCAAACAAATTGAACTAAAAGATATTTTTTAGTTCCTCTTATATAAATTATCTGAATGTATCTTTTTTTTTATTTAGTTTGTGTTAAAACTTATCTAATATGAATAGTTTCATCATCGTCTGCTGAAAGAAAATCTTCAAATATATCTTCAAAAGTTTTATTCAATAATTTTTTAACTAAAATTCATACAATAAAAATTCGACAACTGACAATTTATTGATTCTTTTTCTATTTTCTATTTTTTATTTAGGTAAAAATAAGTCTTAAAAAATCTATCTTTATACAATTGAAGCTAATTTTCATGCTGCTGTACTCGATTTAACTGTAGAATTACTTTTAATTCATTCTAATCACAATTAATTATATCTTAAAATGGTCGAAGAAATTCGAACAGCTTATGTTCTCTAATCACATTTTATTCAAAATAATTTATTATAGTAAAACATTTAATAAAACATGAGAATTCATTATTAAACAAGTGAAAATGAATCTAAAACATATTCTACGAAATAAAAAAAAACACAAACATTTATGCCAAAAATAAAATATCGATAAAATTATTTTTTTTGTGTTTAGATTTACAAGCATCGAAAGCAGTTGTATATGATTTATTTCTTGCTCGAATTGAAACAACCCTAGAGAAAGTACTGAGTTCAGGGTACCCATGTACTGAGAAAGCCTTAGCAGGGTACTCAATTTGGGTACTTCGAAAATTCTTAGTAATTATACTAATGTTGGTACTGAATGGGATACCCATAAAGGTACGCTCACTGAACAAGTACTTGTATGAGTACCCGCATCTGTAGTTTTACTGAGGAAGACTTTACAGGGTGTGGGGGTGGGGGTGTGTGGGTGTCGGTGTCGGTGTGGGTGTGGGTGTGATTGAAAAAACGATCGCCCACCCCCATCCCCACCCAACAACAAAATTGACAGCGACCCACGCTACAACATCTAAGGAATATAACGCTCTAAAAATGCACTATCTATAGTCAACAAAAACCTTATCTTCACGCATACATATTTCCCTTTATTGTTCATCAGAAGAGCATACATATATATATATATCATATCAAAAACGGAAAATAATTCACAACAAAACAATACAGAGATCTTCCTGAAGAATACATGCAAGAAAGAGATCCAAACAATGCAAAAAACCTGCATCTGAATGCATACCAACGATACATAACCTCTATGAGACTTTAATCCCACTTCTACTGTATTTGCATAATTGTCTCTATCTCTAATCCCAATCTCTCTCTCCACAACAATCTAACCATAAGTATAGAATACTCACGAACCTTGGAAAAAACCTTTTAATAATCCCACAAACGATAAACAAACGAAGCAAAATCCAGAGAACAACCTGAAAGAAAGAAAAACAGAGCCACAGTGAAAATACCAAAATAAACGATAGTAAAACAACCATTCAGACAGCATGACTAACAATAAGAGAAAAGAAGAAGACGCTACCTACACACGTATAATCCTATAAACACCTACGAAAAAATTCTTATGATGCCATCTGAACAAAATGTATGTCAAAAACCCCATTCACTATGCAGCAGAGACAACGAAATTATAAATTACATCAATCATACGAAAATGTAATCAAAATACCAGAAAAGAACAATATACCACAATATGAAAGAACAAACACATACTGCCATCCATACAAAAAAGCAAAACTACATATGATCAATAACAAACCTACTACCCAATAAGGCCACAAATACGAAATCCACAGAAAAAAATGCACTATTCATCATAAAACACGACCACCAATCAGCAAATCCCAGTACGACTTCATACACCCTTAAAAATCTCTTCGCAAGACATACAACATTAGCACATAGTCACCTCATCTAAGTGAGGGAGAACATGACTCAAACAGCAAAACCACTAACCAAGAAAACCACAAAAATCAGAAAATTCCGCCCTATATACCTAGACCCTTAACACACGGACTTCAATCACCTCCTCAACAACTCAACAACTCAATAACTCATATTACTAGAAACCATTCAAAGCTCATCGTAATAAGTAACAACTATGAAACACTGCCCTACAAAAACCTATCCAATCCAACCCAAATCTATTTCGCCTCCTAAACCAAATAGATACACAAGCAATGCACAATCAGACGAAACTACAACGCCAAAAAACCATACATAAGGTCCTCAAAACCCTACTCAACCGCAGCCTTCTTTAACATTCTCAACATTTTCCACACCATGAAGTTCAATAGGCACAAATACAACATCATGCTGAACTAGTAGAAATACTGATGATGGGCCGGTTGAAGCCCGAAAGCTCTATTAAATTCAATAATATCATTTGAATATATATAATTAATAGAAATTAACTTCACTTTTTCGATTTTATTTCGTTTTTACTTGAAATAAAATATACTCCTAACATGTCATATAAAATTTAAGAAAAAGGAATTTTCGTCTTTTTTTTGAAAATTCAAATCATACAATTGAGACATTGCCGTCCATTCACTCATATTACGATCGAGAATCGATCGTTTTATTAATAGAAGAAAGATAATTTTAAAAAGATTTTATATAAGAAAAAGACCAGTGAAACAAGAAAAACGAATAAATAATCTTAATACAGTATTCGTTTCAATTGGTACATGCAATTTTTCATAATCAGATCGTTTTGAACTGAAAAGAAAAGAAAAGAAAGAACATTGATCAAAGGAGAAAAACAAAAAATCGTACGTTGTTCTAAAGATATATGATAATTTTGTTTAATTCGAATATGATAATTTAATTTTCGATTGAATATTTGTCATTCTTTCATTAAATAAAAATTATTTTAAAATAGAGTTAAGATAAAAAGATTGAACTTGTTTATAATTCAATAGTCTATGATCACATTTTCATGAGTCATCAAATCAATGTCCAATAAAAGATCCAGTGATGCACTTAAGATGAAACTAATTTTGAAATACTCATATATGCAGCATATGAAATATATATCATTGATAGAGACTATTCATGATGTTAAATTCTTCTGATCAAATATAATCGTGAAACCGAACTAAAACCATAGAGTTGATGTAACGACATCTTTCTTTGTATTCCCTAGTCAATACGTACAGTCTATATATATGCATAACGCCACACTTATCATGCTTCATACATGTAGTGGGATGTATCATCACACGCGCTAAGTGTAGCGAACGTGTTTCTTTGTGATTCATCACGCATACGACAGAGGTGGTGTCATCTTTTAGGAGGAGAAAGAAGAATGGAGAACACCAATGGTTTCTTACAAAGGATGGTATCATATGATATCATGCACGGTCATTTTTTTATTTTCATTATTACAAAGACTTGTCTGTTATACTAATTGTTCATACTGTGTTAAAATAAGCAAGTGTTGATTTATGTATCGATAAGCATTTTTGATTGTGACTAAGCGTAGATTTTTTGTGCTTATTATTTTTACATCAATTTATCAAATGGAGAGAAATCTATGTGGTATCCAATGTAAATATCGATATGAACAACAATTAGTTCGTCGTGAGTATTTAAAGAAGTTGATCATCGAGCTATCTCTATTCTTCTTTCTTTAGAACATCAAAACAATAAACAGAGACAAAGCAAAGTATAGTCGTGGTCTTTATAGTTCATTTTCGTCAGTGCACCAGCAACAATTTGTTTCATTGAAACCTGATAGTCAACAAAAGAATTTAAATTTAATAAATGTGCAAGAAGGTGAAACATTTATTGAAGATGATGCTGTTGTTATTGATGAAGGTAATATTTGCTGTTATCTTGAGATGTTGATGAAGATAATTAAAGGCTAAAGTTAGGTATTATAAGATAGATTGAAAATTATTCGTCTTTTTTTGTGACAGATAGATATATAATAATAATATAAAACATGGATTTTTTTTATAACAAATCTTATATTTATTTGAAGCAACATTATAATGGGTTCACGAAAATTGGTCGAACGAAAAATAGTCGAACGAAAATTGGTGGAAGAAAGTTGGTCGATACGAAAATTGATTGATACGAATATTAGTCACTACGAAAATTGATCAACGAGAAAAATAGTCGAAAAATTCTTAATTAAGAAAAAAGAATCTTTCAATAAGAGCGACAGCAGTGTAAAAAATAAATTAATATCAGTATATAATCTGTCGCTGG